TTTTGCTTTTGCTGCTGTTGCTGCTGCTTGTTCGATTTTATGTGGCATACTTTTCAGCGCCCTGCGGCACAGGCGAAAACAAAGTGTCGAACAGCTAAAGCTACAGCATCAACAACAACAACAACAACAACAACAACAACAGCAATCTGTGCCGCAACAACACCAACAACTGGCCCAACAACACATCGCAATTGCAAGTGGATCACTTGATTTCGCCTTCTCCTTGGTAATTGGTTCTCTGCATTATTTAGTGACATTTGACGTGGATGCTAAGTATTTTTGGATTGCCCCAGAGAGAGAGAGAGAGAGAGAGAGCCCTATACGAGAGCGAGAGAGCATATATTCAAATTGCCGGCTCCATTGACGAGCTGTGGCTTTTAAGTGGCTTCAGCCAAGTGCCAAGTGCATTGGCAAGGCCGTGTTATAAGCCACGATTTACAGCCACATTTGTGGCAAACGATTTGCGATTTATCGATAGTCGACTCGATATCGATAACGATAACAGCCAAACAATAAAACCTAATCATTACATCGCGATTGTAATACTTTTTACTATGATATGGCTTCTATTGTATATAGCTCGAAAAGTTATCGGCAATCGATTTTACTTTTTTGCATTTAGATATTTTTAGAATGGAAGATCAATGAAATAGACCCAAATCGATCTGGTTTTTATGTTTTAAATGTCCGTATCTCTATTGGCGCATTTTCTGCACATTCATCAGTTATGGAAACGCGTCGGCGTCTGTTCTGAAAGGAACTTCCATTAGGGGTATTCTGTTTATAGCTAAAGAAAAACTAGTTATTTGCAAACCCTGACTTTGGCTGTGCACAAAATAGAGAACCCTGCGTCTGAGGACTAGCAAAAAGGCCATTGGGGTCATGTGTCCAAGTATGTGCATGTCACAAGTCTCCTCTACGTTTTGTATCCTAACTATCTATCGCTCTGTGTCCTACGATGTTTGTGTCCTTTCAATGCCCGCTGCGTTGACTTCATAAATATGCCAAACGGACTCTATCAAAATACTTGGCAAGGCAGAAAGAAGCCGGCAGCAAAAGCGCCGCCAGTTGAACATAAACTAAGCGAGTAAATTGAGACACGACGGACACGTGAGTTTGATAGATTGAAGGATATATGGAAGCACACAGGCAAACGCACACACACACACACACACACACTTAAACAGAGTTTATACTGAGCTAGCTGGCGACGCCAGGCTACATCCTGTGTCTGAGCTCTTTGCCTTGTGTGTGTGTGTGTCTTGTGTTGTGTGCGTATTTCATTAACGTCGCCTTTGAAAATCCATTCATTTATCAAAAGCAAACTTCAAACACGCACTACGTATGCGTGTCTGTGTGTGTGTGTGTGTGTGTGTGTGTGTGTGTGACAGATACTGCAACAATTTAGCTAGGATCTGTGCTTATATATGTGTGTGTGTGTAAGCGGAGGCATCGTAAAAATCGTTGCGGCCAAAAAGGGATCAATGAAGTATGCCTAAGAATCTGTCATTTATGACACATGACATACTTTACGAGTAAACCACCCACCACCCCCCGTCGACCCTCGGCCAGTGTAATAAAAGCGGCGATAATAAAGATAAGACCCAACCAACAACTTGGCCGAGAAACGCAATTGAAAGTTTTGCGCCAAACAACTGAAGACGACTTCGATTTACCCTGCCCTGCCCTCCCCAGTCCAGTCCAGTCCAGCACCGGCCAGGCCCGCTCCTCTGGCCGCACACATGTATTTGCAACTCTTTGAAATCAGCTCGTAAATCTCATAGATTCTTTGGGGTTTATCAAAAGTCGTTTGCCTTGCTTGCGGCATGTCGATGTAATCCTTTCTGGCATGCCTGTTAAGCGTCTCGGAATTTATATTTATGCCTCAAATCTCGGCATTTGCATGTCCAACGGCCATATTAAGTGAAACTGAAAGCTTATCTCATTTTATACCGTATAGCTTGAGACTTGCTTTAATTGGCCATGCTTTAAAATATCTAAGCATGATATACATCTAGATATCATTGGGGTGCCTATAGATATCTATATGTCTATGTCTATATATCTCATTATCCGCATCTTAAGTTTTTTGTTTATCTTTTATCAGAGCAGAGACTGTTCCTAGCTTAAGTATACTCAACATAAAATTATTATATAGTTTTTCCTATATAAGTTCTTGCATTCATCTTCTTGAAAAGTATTTACTTTTTTATTATAAATACCCGAGTAAAGAATATAAAAGAATTTTTTTAATAAATACCTAAAGTCGAGTTAAATGCAATCATTTTCTAGTAACATCTAGTCTAGATTTTAACACCTGCAGGTATATATAACTAGCAAGTATTTAAATGCCTTGCCGGTGAACATTTTTTCCTTCAAATTAAAGTCTTCAATTTTAAACCTTTTCCCCGATTGTGGAAATTTAAATCCCCCCGTTCTATCGCGAACTCTCAAATTATGTTTTACAAAGATAAGATACTCACCCAAGAGTTTGTATCCATCGAATAAGAACCAAATGTTTTCCGCCTATTTAAGAGCCGCCGTGTGAAGCTTGAAGCCGGAAAATAAGCTTTGGTCCATACAACTTTTGATCCGCATTCTCCATCCAAGAGACATCTTCATCTGAAATGATGATATATTAAAATTACTAAGAAGCCAATCGGATAGTAAAACAAATGTTGCATACGTTTTCCGCCAATTTTCCACAGTTGCGGGTGGAATTCCCGAAATCGCTGGAACGCATGTTTATGAAGTTCTTATGTTCTTCTTGAAGCATTATTTTTAAAAAGCGATTGTTTCTATAAGAAACCATACATACATACGCATTTGAAGATAAGCGAGGTGAAATGGGAAGCTTGCAATTTCCTAGTTTAAGAAGCAAAAAGGATATGCCATAAAAATCTAGTTTATGATGGATTCTACACATAGTCCGATGTTAACAGACGGGCCCGAAAATGCTTGCATTACATATTTCACAACATTATTTCCAATTGGGCCAACTGAATTCGTAAATGAAAATTCACATACATTTACAATTGAATTAATTTTCGCACATCTCTGCTTCTTTCTACTCTGTATAGTTCACATGTTGAGATATTTTGCTGCCCTTAAACTGTAATCCAAATTGCTTGTGATGTTTCTGGAAAAAACCGCAAATATTTCAGTTAAAGCACATAAGAAAATGCTGCAAAATGTGTTCAAAAATTAATTTACCAGAATTTTAATGCCAATTCAATTTAAGCTGAACATGCTGGCAAGAGCCGGCGGCCACCTGGAGCAAATGGTCAGCAGCCGGACAGCTGTCCGGGTATGGCAGGGCCTGTTACTGAATCTCACGCCGGAGCCGTATTATAAATTAAGCACAAGGCCGGCGCTCAATAATTGCAAACTACTGAAGCATTTAATATTTTGAGTGCATTTCCGCGTTACGCGCCCAAAGGCGAGGAAGGGAAGGGATTTAACAAAAACAAAATATAGGAGGAAAAAGAGTCCAAAAAGGTGCAAGAGAAAAAACAACAAAGATGCGGAAACCGAAACCAAAGCAAATCGAATTGAAACACATGAAAATCGAAAGTCCGTAAAATGCCTCTGCCGACGAAAGCCCCCTATGGCTGGGCGCAGGCAGGTCAGGTCAGTGGAACTGAGCCGAGAGTTCAGATCTTCCTGCCCAGTCTACGGCCACGGCCCGGTCTGGTCCGGTCCGGTCAGGTCCGGCTCGGCTCGGCCAGCCGTAAAGTTAATAAAGCGCCCCGAAGGCGATAAACAATTTGCGTTGGCGAAAAAGTCGTGCGAGTTGCCGGCAGGCGTTGTGGGCAGGGAACAGGAGCAGAAGCCGCCCTGGATGCTATTGCTATTGTTATTGCCCGAAGGCGTCACAGTGGCGCGGCCCAACGGACTGCAAACTTGAGATTCTAATTGGCATTTTATGCCGGACCACGCCTACAGCTCACACTCCAAGCGCGACCGTCGAACAGGTGTGAAATCGTTGACGAATTCTCACGAATACGTTTAATCCGCTTTCTGATTTTTGTTGCAGTCGTCGCGAGCGTTACTGGGTGTGGGCTGGGGCATATTCAGGTCCAGGTTCAGCAGCTGGGTGCCAGCTCAACGTTTTACATTTTGCGGGCGATATCATGTTGGATTAAAAGCGCGCGCCTCGTGCCCTTCGTTGCAAATTAATTTCGTGTACATGTCCTGCAGCCTTTTGCAAGTATGTTCGCCTGCATCCATGTGTGTGCGAGTGTTGAGGTGTGTGTGCCTGTCTGCGCACATCGAGTTACCCAGCTGCAACCTGTCCATCACTTGACCTCTTGTCCTCCCAACGTATATCCTTCTGTCTGCTGCCGGCAACCGCAAATGTTAAAGCGGCGTGACTTTATTTGATTGTCTGTCCGGTGAGCGGGCATTTTTGGGTTTCATTTATTTTTAGATCCGCTCTGAAATTATACAAAAACAGTAGAGATCCCACCTTTTAGCATAACAGGATTGTTGTACAAATTGAAATTAAAACCAACCTTTTGGCTAGCCATTTGTTGCCATTGCGCTGGCATAACGTTTCGGTTGCCACCAATTGTTATGATTTGAATTGCCAAGTTGTGCGCTTCATTTAGCTGGTATTATCATTCTTATTGCTGGATGTGCTGCTCTCTCTGTGTGTGCTACTCCAAAAAGTGTGATATGTGTCCTGTGTAGGTATTTTAAAAGACTTTGGCTTAATTGGTATATATATATATATATATGATTGGTAATATATATATATATATATATATACATACATATTATATCATATATCAATCATATATATATATTCTTTACTCTACAAATTTCGGCCCTAACTCGGCAAGAAAATGTATCAAATATCACTTTACCGAAGTTGGTTTCAGGGTTCCAACTTTTCCTGTCCATTTTTGTCGAAACCTTTAATAATGATTTATTTATTTATGCGTTTTTCCTGGTTCCAGCTTTTAGTGCGAAAGCCCGATGTTGCTTGCAGCATACGTTTAAACCCAAAAATTAATTATAGTGCATTATCTAAAGGTCACATGTTATCATTTTGTTTTTCCAGATTGATTAATCTACAAGTTATAAAAAGCAATTAAACTTCCTTCCACTTTTGCATGTTGTCCAACAAGCATTTGGGTTGTTTTTGTATAAAAGTCTGATAAGAGATAAATAGTAACATAGTTCTCCTTTTTGCTCGCTATTCACGCTCATCGTAATTTTCTGGTATCATATACAAAATTCGCCGCATCTACAAGGTATAAAAGACAATCAAATGAAAGCTGACAACAAATTTTACAGATTTCAAACCGATAACAATCAGAAGAAACTTGGACTATATTCGATTACTAATTCTGTATACCCGGAGCCCGTTGACATTTTTAAAAGGCAGACATGAAGCATATCCCATCATATTGATCTGGACGACGAGCTGAGCCGATCTAGCCATGTCCGTCTGTTTGCCTTAATCTAGAGAATAGCGAAATCAATAAGATATATTTGCTTAGTAAGGCGTACCTCAAACTTTACCCATTTATAGCAAATTGAATAGTTTAAGTGAGATTCGTGGTCACGCATATTTGGTAGATTGAATACCCTCTCTCACTTACGCTCCAGCTACCCAGTTCCAGTTGCACCCTGTCGGCCGCTTCTAATCGATCCAGTGAGTGACATTATACATTTTTTTTTTTTTTTTTCTCAAACTCTGCAAGTACATAAAAGTCAGTTTGAATGCTATTTCGCCTTGAACGAAATCGGACATTACTTGGCCGGGGCCCTAACAAATGACATGCTCATCATCCAGTTGAAGGGCCGCTCGTTTGACAACTCGTTGGGTTCCATATCGCAAAATAAAGAAGAACGAGCGCATTATCATAAAAACCTAAAAATACATACATAAATGCCGATTAAATCTTTATTTTCTGGCTTGACGCACGCAACTGCCGGGGGCAGCAGCAGGATATTTGGTTACGCACAAAATATATATACATATATATACATATATACTTCATACTTATTTTTTTTCGGGTCCACCGTTGACTGTTGACAGACATGTGACAGCGGGGATGGGCGTGCGGCTGCCTGATCGTGCAACCTGATGATTTAATAACTGGCGGCAAAGCTGATTAGATGGGTGGGTTGTGTGTATTTGTGTGTTTGTGTGTGTCCAGTGTGCGGCGTGGCGAGCGTTGCACGAAAGGGGTTGCAAATTTAAAGGCTGCCCCAGCCAGCAAATTTGTAAATGCTTTGCAAGGAGGAGGAGGAGGAGGAGGAGGAGGGTTAGGGAGGGCAACTAACCACCAAGGATAACAGCGCTTGTTGCTTTATGTTCCTGTACTTTTTGCCTGGCACCGCAGTGTGTGCGCCTCTCTCTGCATGTGTGTGTGTGTGTGCAACGTGTGTGTGATTGATGACAACTCGAATAAGCGATGATTGATGCTTATTTTACACTTTTCGTTACAACACACGGCGACACATGTTTATTTATGTATGTATGTGTGTGCCTCGGCGCGTTTTTGGCTGGCTTATATATCGGGGATTATTATGAGCACACGTTCGAGCGTCTCTAGACGCCGACAACAACAATGACGCCGCCGACGACAACGACGAGCCGCAATCATCAATGTCAGCGGCGTGTGCGCCTTCCGCCCGCGCAACCAGCCCTGATAGGTGGGTGGCAATCTCTGTTAGTGTTGGTAATTGTTTGAATATCGTGCGCGCGCGTGTTTGTGTGTGTGTGTGTGTGTGTGTGCGAGGTGCTCTTGTGGTTTACTTATTGCTGCGCTGCAATACATCATCGGCTGGCAGTTAGCCGGCTGGGAGAATCTGCAAGGACCTGGAGCCAGCGCGTCCGCTCCGCTTCGGCTGCTGCTGTCGCGCAAAAAGTTAGACGCCAAATGCACATCACATGGCTAGCAGCAGGCTTTGTTCGCTAACACCTTTACAATGCAGCTTCAAGTTATACATACATATATGTGCTGTAAATATGTGCATTATTGTTTATTTTTGATGATTTTTCTGCTATTTCATATAAATTTGCGCATTTATTGTATTGTTGTGTATGAAACTTGCCACGTGATTTGCACGTAATCGATAGCTTTCTTGCAAAGTGATATCGATGTGCGTGTTCGATATTTTACAACACTTGTCGCTTATTGGAGTACGCGTCGTGTTTTCTCTAATTCGCTCCTAATTTGCATATAACTCCAAGTTATGTGTTATATTAAATCAAATTGTGCAATTAATTAACAAATATAATCAGCAATTCGCGATCGAGTGTGTGTGTGTAAATAATGACTTCATTTAGCGAGCCCTACAGATCAGCTAGCAAATCTGGAAAGTTCATGCATGTACATATGTACATATTTATGTACACAAATGCTATTGATGTATTTCTTATTAGAAAATAGATATTAATAGTATAATGTGACAAAAAAAAGAAGCATAAACTAACTGATCTTTGGCAAATTTCCTTCAAAGCGTTGGCAGATCTATAGCGTCACTGCGTGGGGTACGCACAAAACCTATGACGGCCGGCACAGTGCTTGGTCGTGGGTGTGACGTCACCGATGTGCGTGGTCGATATTTCACAACACTCGTCGCTTATTGGAGTACGCGTCGTGTTTTTTTTTTTCATTTTCATAAAACTCCAAATAATGTGATAAATTAAATCGAATTATGCAATTAATTAACAAATATAATCAGCAATTCGCGCGCGAGTGTGTGTGTAAATAATGACGTCATTTAGCGAGCACTGCAGATCAGCTGACAAATCTGGAAAATTCATGTATGTATGTACGTATGTATGTATGCACAGAAATGCTCAAATTGCACACGATTGTTTTTGTTGCTGCTGGATTTCTTATTAGAAATTGATATTATTGCTATTTATTGATTCTGTGACAAAAAAAAAGGCTTAAACTAACTGATCTTTGGCACATGTCCTTCAAAGCGTAGGCAGTTTTATGGCGGCACTGCACGCTGTGGGGTACGCACAACAAATATGGCGGCCGGCGCAGTGCTTGGTCGCGGCTGTGTGACGTCACCGGCCAAAGGCATGGGCCAGAGCTGCAATAGGGTTGAGAGCATTAGTGGAAGCGGGATAGAGCTAACCGGGCAGGTTTCGTTACCTTTCTTTGCCGGCGTCGAAAGCGCTGGCGGTGCACCTGCGCCAATTTGTTGCTGGAGAGCAATGCGCGTTTGCGCCGCTGCCAAGACTGCCAAAGAGAGAGAGTGAGAGACAAACAATAGATATAAGAGAGTATGGAGAGTATGGAAGAATGGGAAAGAAGGCAAGAATGTGATAAGGTGAATGCAAGATGAGAGCGAGACGGGGGTAGAAACAGCGAGTGACGGAGGAGAAACAACAGAGAGGAGAGAGATCGTGATGGAGGTGAATGTAAAAACGAGATAGTTGGAGGTGAAATAGTGATTTGGTGAGGTAGAGAGAGAAAAGAGATAGTTATTGGAACAGATAAAGGTATTTGGATAGAGAGAGAGAGAGGAAGAAAGACAAAGTGTAAGCGGGAGAAAGATGCAAATACGGAGAAAAAAGTTTGTGATAGACAGAGTTAGAGAGCGTCAGAGCATGTGAGAGAGTGAGTGCGATAGAGTGAGAGAGAGAGTGAACAGTTAATGCACACACCTGCATATTAACATCGTATTTGATGCGCTGCGCCAGCGCCGGCGCCTGCTCATGCAGCTGGCGTCGCAGCCAAGCAACGCCATGCCACAGATCCTCGCCGCCGATGTGACAAATGTGCAGCGGGCAGCCGCAGGCGCGTGCCAGCTGCTCCAGGCGGAAGGCATGCTCCACATCGTACAGCTGAACGGCATCGCTGTGCCGCGTGGCCACCAGCAGCACGGGCTTGCCGCGCAGCGCCACATGCTCGAGGCAGCGCTGCAGCAGCGCAAAGTTGTCCAGCAGCTGGTCGTAGCTGGCGCTAAGATCAAAGCAAAAGATTAGCGCATGGCAGTTGGCATAGTAATGCGGCCAAATACGCTGCATGTCCAGGCTGCCGCCCACCTCGGTCAGCAGCAGGCTGCCCGCGCTCGACTCCGGCATGCCATTGGCCAGCAGGCGATAGCAGCGCACGCCATTGGTGGCGTCCATATCGTTGGCGTCGCGTTCCTCGCCGCTGAGCAAATGCCCCAACTGGGTTTTCCCACTGCCGGTGGCGCCCAGTAGCAGCACCTTATAGCGCGCCGTGTCTGGTAGCTGCGGTGTCTCCTCGCAGCAGCAGCAGAAGGTGCAGCAGCTGCAGCAACTGCAGCAGCGGCAGCAGCGGCGCAGCTTACCGCACACCAGTCCCATTAGCACATGGCGAATACGTCGCTTCGTTTGGCCTAAAATTGAATGAAATTTTGTATTTTATTTGATTAACTTGTATTTTCACTCGGATTGGAACGCTTCTTTGTTTTGTTTACAAGCTGAGCGCCTGCCAGCTGACTTGGACTGCCGGTTGCCCAGGGTAACGCCAGCAACGCCTCGTGTTGTGGTCATTTGGACATCTTGTTGACATGGTTAAGCCACGTAGTCACTGCTAATAACATTTACTTTTCAAAATTTAACCGACAGCTGATACAGTTGAGCTTGTAAAGCTTTAAAATTGAAACGCTTTCATCAATATGCTACTGTTAGTCAAAAATTGAAAGGTTTTTTTGAATGAGGTACTGTTCAAAAACATGCGCTGCTATTAACAGCCGCTGTTAGTTAACTGTTAGTTTACCAGCTGCTGTTAATAAACTGTAACTAACAGTTAGACTTCGAAAAAGCTTCTTGTGCTATGTTTTACCAAACATTGCCGCTAGATGTCGCCTTGTCCCAAATTAAAGTCCTTAAGTTAAGTTGCAAAATTTCCCATGAGAAATGTACCCTTTCAATAAAAACCTGTTTTAACGGCATTTAAAGAAAAACCAATATTTTGAAAAGTAAGTGCATTCAATGAACATTGTTCAAGAGTTCTCCAAATATGTTGCATTTATAGGTGCAGTTCACTTTTAGTAACTGCTCCTGGAGAAGATTCTATGTGTTTACAAAATAATAAATCTTGTTTATGAAAGCCTAAAAATCGAGAAAAAAAAGCGCTTAATACTTTCTTCAAATAATGTGCTTAGCAGAAATGGTTTTAATGCCAAGCCGTGATTATAACTGAATAAAATATTAATGATTTGAAAAAACGTCCAAAAAGAAAATATTTAGCTAAAATATGAGCATGACCTTTAATGAAAAATTCCATCTTTCGCACAAATACACGCAACATTTTTTTTCCAATTCTTCTCGAAATACCCTTGCAGAGGGTTTTGTAGCAAAATGTGTGACGTATAAAAAAACGTTTCTGAACCCATGAGTAAATGATTTTTGTCATCACATTATCGTTTTGTATCATATAGCTGTATAGAAAGAATCTGTCGAAAGATAAATTTTGCTTAAAATTCTTGTTGTTTTTCCTCTTAACCCAAATCAGCTGGGCCAGGCTGCATTATTTTCCCTAAATAATTGCAAAAACTTATCAATAGATATTAGAACAGCGCTTTTGAAGGAAAACTCGAATTTTGCAAGAGCTTTTTAAAGAAACGTTCTCGTAAAGTAAGAGTAAGAATGTTTAACGTTTTAAGTACTTCCTTAATTTTTCCCAACACTTAAGGATCGGACATCGAACTTATTCAAGAATGAATATGCCATAATGTGGCGTTGCTTTTGTCTTTGGGTGTACAGAAGAACTTTCGAATTTTGCTGGGTTCAGGGTATTTTCTATTTGGGCACTCTAGACTAACGCACTCTTACTCGGTTTTTGATTCTATTTGGCAACATGTTTGCTAATCGCTGTGTGGCACATGTTTGAGGCAAGCATGAAACAGGCTCTTAACTCAGTCACTCGACCCAAACACCCCAGCGATCCGGGCATGCCCAAATTGAAAGGTAAGCGAGCTAAACGTTGCTCGAACTTTGTCGCACCGCCCTTTTGGGCCCGAATGTCTGTGGCCTCGAGGCAGTTGCCGGTGTCGCTGAGTGGCAACTCTTTTGTGAGACCTTCTACACCTTCCCCTTCTCCCCTCAGCCCACGCCCAGCTCTACATGCATCTAGGTACGAGTGCATGAATATAATGTCAGTCACCTAGGCAACAGCTCGTCCGGCGACGACGTTGTCGTCCATTTTAATATGCGCATTAATGCGGCACAAAGCGTCGCGAACTTGGAAACTGGCTGAAGAAAAAAATAAAAAAATAATTTGACGTGGGGCTAGTCTGAAGACGCTGTGCCAAAGGTGCAGGGTTGAGAGGCGTATGCAAATATCTAGTTGATTGCCTGCACATATCTCGAAAACATTCCAGTTGACACTTTTGCATGCACATGTGTACAACTGCGAGGGCTGTTCCAGGGCTACACCTAAGGAGTCTAATTTTATGTATATTATAAAACCTACAAGTAATGTTCCTTGCCTGTCCTGAAACTAGATAAAAGGAAAAGCCTAGTACCCGACTGAGAGATACCCTAAATCCAGCGCAAAGAGGGATAAATCTAATCAAAACTCATTATATATACTGGATCTGTGTTTGATGGACGAGATCTGGATTTTCCAGATCATTTAAGCTCTTTCCTTACAAGATTTATTGTTGAAACGGGAAAAATGTTCGATTTGAAAAAAATTGATGCATTTATAAAGATGGAGTCACAGGAAGTCGGACAAAGCTTTGGCTCAGCTATCCATATACCCTTTCTAATTCCACTTTCAATGGGTTCAGGAAATATGAAAAGGACAAACTGAATGGCTCAACAGATTAAAGACTCAATTTGGAATTATGAACTATCGGATTTTCATTACTGCCCTCGTGTGTGTGTGAGCTTGTGAGTGTTCCCTAAAGCCCAAGTCAAATATTTGCCGGCGGCAGTCGCCTGAGTTGCATCAAGCTAAATGAAGCGACACCGCGTTACCATTTGTCCTTGTGTCCTTTGGCCCCCCAATGGAGCTCCACTGGTCGCCGCAATGTCAGCGGCATTGTGACTAAGCTAACGGCGGCTTCACCTGCTGCTCGTCCACGGGCATGGCTATGGTTCAGCTGCGGCATTATTCGATTATTTGTGCGCAGCAGCATCATTTCGTTTGCTTTCCGGTTGTTTTCCTTTATCCTTGGCGAGTGCCTCCTGGTTGCGCGTCAGCGGACTCGACTGCTCTTTGACTATGGCACACGGCGACGTCATATTTCCTTTTCTACGCCACCTATTTTTCCTTCTCTTATTTTCTTCTCTGTTTTTTTTTTTTGTTTTTGCGATTTCCTCGGCGCACTTGTCGAGTCGTTCACCGTGCAGAGTTTAGCGAGCTTAGCACTGGGCGCGCTAGCTTGCCTCGGATTTCATTTCCGGCATGTTGCGGTTACGTTAAGTAACGGAGATTGCATCGCTAATGATGCAATTGTGTTTGGCGGAAATGAAAGCGGTTTCGTGTGACGACTTGCCAGCCCACACACACATACACATCCAAACACACACACACGCAGATCTGACCCAGACAATCTCTTAAGAATTGGATGCTATTCAGCCACCTAAAGCCAATCAAGTGAAAGAAAACAGTATATGGAAAAAAAAAAACTATGCACCTGCTAATTGCATTTGTGCCAACTAACGGAAGTGCCTGTCATAACAAAGTAAGGCTTCAGATCTATGCTGCATAAATGAGTGTGCTGCATAATCATATTGATTGATGCAGTCAGTCGTAGATGACGGAATCAATTGCTTATGATGCAGAAGTTAAGGAAAATTTTAGTAGGCCTGCTCGCAATGTCTGTCATCGTCAAACACTTCAACTCGGCATTAATTTCGAGAGGAAAATTTCTATTTTTTTTTCGGGCTAAAAGATCAATTACCATTGGGCAAAATTGTTGAATCCCCAACCATGCACAGTGCGCAGTGTAAAACGCCCAACGGTCAGTTGACACAAAATGATTTAGCCAATACGCCAGAACATCTGCGTCCCGGATTCAACGGACATGTGCGTCAGTATGATCCCAGGGAATTTGGTCTGACGAATAACGAAGAATGGCGCAATCCGCGGATCTTCCGGAATATGACATGTCTGTAGAGCCGTTACTTTATTTTGTTTTGGTGAAAACTGACTTATAAACCAATCACAGATGAGACCGACGCTGAGGCCATGGATGCGCTGCGGCTGGCGCAGCCGCGAAGACAAATGTATCGCCCACCTACGGGGGTAAATCTAAGCAATTTGACACAGGAGTGTCTGGCTGATGTGTCGGCACCGGCGTTTGATCTGAGCATGCCGTCTCAGATGTCTGGGCCGGGGGGCGAGTATCTGGCTAATATCTCGCCGCCGCATATGTGCGATACAGACAAGTCTGTGGGCCAAAATGATGCAAGCAACTACGTGGATAGCGTTTACCGCCAGGTTGTGCACAGTTTCAAGAATCCGCGTGAGCGCAATGTGCCTGGTGATAATCTGTTGCCCGCGGTGGAGAACCGATCTCCAGTGCCTAATCAAGTGCCCGAAAAAGGCACCGCTCAAAAGGTAATTAGTGCACCATAATTGTTATTTACATTCTATCAGAATCCTTCGGTACACAGAACAACAGTGTGCTAACTACACTGCGCAAGATAACCACCCATCGGGATCAGTGCGGAAATGTTACAAGTCGCGTCGAGGAGACCAGCACAGTGTCCAACACTCCCTACGAGCAGGCGACTAATTTGGATTGCACACCAGTCGGTACGGGTCAGGGGGGACAGGGACGTCATCTACACTTTTCCATGCCAGCCCAGTCGGAGAATATCGCTGATATCTCGATGCCCTCATTTTACGATAATTCCATGCCAGCAATGAGTACGCGAATAGCCCCACAGGGCATGACCAGTGAACGGCTGGCAGACATAAGTGCTCCCGCGTTTGCGGACTCAGTGGGAAGACGAATGCAAGCAACGCCGCCTACTATCAGCAATATCTTAGCGCCGCCTATTGGTAAAAATGTGTGCCTGGAAAATATAAGTGCTCCCTCTTTTCCAAATAGCACCGTTAACAGTTCTAGAAGTCCAGGCGTAGAAGATATATGTGATATGTCGGCACCGCTATTCGCTAGTACCAATCGTTTCGAGTGTCTCGAAGATATATCCATGCCGTCTGGCGTCTCTGGCGCTAAAGGTGATTCGAAACGACAAGCAACAGAGTTTCCCAATGAATGCTTGCATAATGTGACAATGCCATCGTTTGGAGGTATTACGGGTGCTTCAGGTGCGTCAAGGCGACAAGTTAACTTAACGTCCAACGAGTGCCTAGAAGATATAACAATGCCTTCATATGGCGGAGTTTCTGCAGCGTCAAATAGACAAGCAAGCTATATACCTAGTGAATGCCTGAATGACGTAAGTGCCCCATCCTTTGTGTCCAGTACCTTGCGTAGTAGAACACCTCGACGCCAACAAAGGTCCATGCCCTCACATAATACATTAGACGCAACAGCTCTGGAGGACATCAGTATGCCTTCCTTTGAAGGAGTATCGAGTGCTACAGCAAGAACATTTCAGCAGCGATCAATGCCTTCCCAGACTATCTGTGACATATTAGCACCATCTTTCGAAACTTTTGGGCAGGCTCCAAATACCAATGAATGCTTGGAAAATGTAACGATGCCAACATATGGTAGTTCAGGACATGGGACTTATCAGTACCTGGAGGATATCAGCATGCCCTCGTTTGGAGGAGTATCGGTAGGTTTAAGAGGAGCAGGATCTCCATCGCGACAACAGCGATCAATGGCGCCGTCACAAATTACACCGGGACAAATGACAAATGAGTGTTTGGAGGATGTTACAATGCCATCCTATGAGTATTCTGGCAGAGGGCCCGCGAATAATCTGGAGGACGTCAGTATGCCTTCGTTTGGAGGAGTATCGGCTGCTTCAAAAGCAAGAACCCTGACACGTCAACAACGTTCAATCCCTACCCAAACTGTGTGTGACATATTGGCCCCAAGTTTTGAAAACAGTGGACGAGGGCCTTCGACAGCGCATGAATATTTAGAGAACGTGACCATGCCGTCCTTTGAAAGCTCAGCCCGAGGACCCATGACTAATGAGTTCTTGGAAGACGTTAGTATGCCATCCTTTGTTGGAGTATCCGGTGTTTCGAGGGCAAGAACTCCGACACGCCAGCAACGATCAATGCCAACGCAGAATATCTCTGCCACCCCAGTTCCCTCACCGGGAAGTAGTCGACGTGGGCCAACGACTAATGAGTGCTTGGAGGACATAACAATGCCATCATATGGGAGCTCAGGTAGAGGAGCCACGAATGAGTTCTTAGAAGATATTTGTATGCCTTCGTTTGCCGGAGTATCGGGCGCTTCAAGAGCAAGAACTCCGACACGGCAGCAGCAAACGATGCCATCCCAGAATATATATGACATATCAGCACCGTCTTTTGGTAACAGTGGACGTGTACCAGTGACAAATGAATGCTTAGAGGACGTAACTATGCCTTCATTTGCCGGTATATCGGGATCCTCAAGACGGCAACAGGCTATGCCTTCTGAGTGCTTGGAAGACGTCAGTGCACCTTCATTTGGACAGATAATGTCGCGTAGTAGATCACCGCGACGTCAACAAAGGCCTTTAGAAAATATTAGCAACGCAAGTCGAGCACACGCGACAAATGGGTACCTTGAGGACATCACCATGCCTTCCTTTGGAGAAGTATCGAGTGCTTCAAGGGCAGGAACCCCGACGCGTCAACAGCGTTCCATGCAAACCCAGAATATCTGTGACATTTCTCCTCCTTCATTTCGGAGACGCGTTCCAAATACTAGTGAATGTTTAGAAAATATAAGCATGCCGTCATATGTGACCGCAGATGCCTCAAGAGCAAGAACTCCGACACGGCAGCAGCAAACGATGCCATCCCAGAATATATATGACATATCAGCGCCGTCTTTTGGTAACAGTGGACGTGGACCAGTGACAAATGAACGCTTAGATGACGTAACCATGCCGTCATTCGGAGGAGTATCAGGGTCTTCACGACGACAGCAAGCCATGCGCTCCGAGTGTTTGGATGATATCAGCGCACCATCGTTTGGCCGGAGCGTATCGCTCGGTAGATCACCTCAAGGTCCGCAGAAGCTCCAACGAAACATTGTAGATATAACTGCTCCGTCATTTGCCAGTTCAGGTCGGGGCCCTCAAACTAATGACTACCTGCAGGACGTTAGCATGCCTTCATTTGCAGGAATATCGGGGGCTTCGAGATCAAGAACTCCGATACGACAACAGCGCTCAATGCCATCGCAGAATATCTGTGACATATCAGCTCCATCATTTGGAAGCAGTGGACGTGGTCAAAATACAAATGAAGGTTTAAAGAACTTATCAGGTGCAGGACCATCATATAATCAGTACTTGGAGGACATTAGCATACCTTTCTTTGAAGGTGTATCGGGTGCTCCAACAGCAAGAACTCCGACTCGGAAGCAGCAATCGATGCCATCCCAGAATATTTGTGACATATCAGCGCCGTCGTTTGGTAGCAGTGGACGTGGACCAGTGACAAATGAACGCTTAGATGACGTTACTATGCCGTCATTTGGAGGAGTATCAGGGTCTTCACAACGACAGCAAACCATGCGTTCCGAGTGCTTAGATGACATCAGCGCACCATCGTTTGGCCGGAGCGTATCGCTCGGTAGATCACCTCAAGGTCCGCAGAAGCTCCAACGAAACGTAGATATAACTGCTCCGTCATTTGCCAGTTCAGGTCGGGGTCCTCAAACTAATGACTACCTGCAGGACGTTAGCATGCCTTCATTTGCAGGAATATCGGGGGCTTCGAGATCAAGAACTCCGATACGACAACAGCGCTCAATGCCATCGCAGAATATCTGTGACATATCAGCTCCATCATTTGGAAGCAGTGGACGTGGTCCAAATACTAATGTATATGAAAGTTCGGGCAGAGGTCCAGCGACTAATGAGTGCTTAAATGACATTAGTATGCCTTCCTTTGCTGGAGTGTCGGGTGCTTCGAGAGCAAGAACTCCGACACGTCAACAGCGATCAATTCCATCCCAAAATATCTCTGCCACCCCTGTTCCCTCACCTGGAAGTGGTCGACGTGGGCCAACGACTAATGAGTGCTTGGAGGACATAACAATGCCATCATATGGAAGCTCAGGCAGAGGAGCCACGGCTAATAAATATGCTGGGCGAAGTTTATCACAAGGAGCAAGTCCCAGAACTCAACAATTATCGGCGCTTATTGATAGCTCTGGAAGAGATCCAATGGCGAGTGAGTGCATAGAAAATATAACAGCGCCAAGTGGCGTTTCAGGTGCTGGCACAAGTCGGCGAGAATTGACAATGCCCAGCGAGTGTTTGGACAATGTGACTCCTCCCTCCTATGGGCGCAGTGGAATATCCCAAAATACACCACAGTTGTGGAACATATCTCCACCGGTATTTGACACTTTCACCAGTCAACCGAGCAATTTGCGTAGACCGCGTTCTGTACCGGCTTATCTCAGCGAGTATCTAGATGACGAGACTGCTCCCAGCTTTGGCAACAGCAGTAGGGGTATGAAGAGTCTATATCAGATGCCGCTGCAAGAAACCGATGCATCGACTGACTCAATGCAGCACGGAACGCCGCTTCGACAGGTTCACAGTTTTCCGGTCATCCCCAGTCAACAGAACATTGGTGACATTTCAGCACCTTCTATGGGCAGTCCGGCGCATGAGTTTTACAATAGCTTCCAAAACTCGAGAGCTGTGCGGCAACCTACTGCCGATGAATCCTATCCAAGCGAAATGCTGGGTAATGTAAGCGCCCCTTCATATGCAAGCACTATGAATCGTTCTCAGCCTAATCGGCCGACAAACTTTAGTGCAGCCTACGAGAACCTTGAAAACGTTACAGAACCTTCGATGTTTGCTAATAGCTCTACGCGTTCTCAAATGCCTTCTAATCGTAACAATTCTCGGCCACTTGAAACGCCCGAAGATAGACAGAAAACCAACTTTAGTCATTCCACTGGCAAACGTCTTGAGGATGTAATGGATATAAGCGAACCATCTGGACTGTATCGAAGTGGTGCACACGCTCAGAATGCGGAGAATATGGGCATACCCTCGGAGAGAGGGCAGGACTTGAGTGGGATGCAAGTAAAAAGGGGCGACTCAAATCTTTCTCAGCAAATATCAATCTCTGAGCAAAGTGTGAAGAGGACTGTGATCCAAAATACATCTGGTCAGCTTGGCAATGAAAGTGAACCCTCCGCACTCAATAATAGTGCGAATGGGCCAGTCGCAGTTGAGGTGGAAAATGTGACTGTTACGACATCTGTGACTTCCGTGAAGCGTTTATATCCAAACGAAGACAGTCGGATGGAGGACGGCTACGACAACCGAAATCGCGACGAAAAGGCCTACGACAACCGAAATCGCGACGAGAATGGCTACGACAACCGAAATCGCGACGAGAATGGCTATCAGAATGCACCGAACTACCAGGGCATAAACGACATCTCTATGCCGCCATATGAGAGCACTGGCAACAGCTCGCCGGGCCAATCGAAGCGTAACAATATGTATCTCTCAGATATCAGTGAGCCAACCTACGGTCCCTCTTACCAGTCAACCCAGTCAACCCAGAGCCATGACCCTAATGCGACCTTCCACGGCTTTGACTCAATGGACAACTATGCCCCGTTCGATCAGCTAGTCAATTCGATGCCGCAAAATCAATTATCGAACAGCAATGCATTACCTGACAACGGTCTCGCCACGCCAGAGCCGGTGCGTGGCAAAAATGTTCAAATTAACAAAACACCCAACAGCCAAAGGTCAGAACAGCAAACGGGTCAAAAAAATCCGTGTTCATGTTCAGCGAGCTTGTATGGGAGGACGCCCACCAATACCCCAAATCGTAATCCACCTCGTTAGGAAATTTACTCTCTAAACATTTTGTCCACATTCTGAGCCTACTCTTCGGGAGGGGATCCTGCAATTGAAAATATTTATGATTTAGTACTTGTTTTAAGCCTGAAAAAATGATCGAAATTCGAGTTAACAATAAAATGGAAGTGAAGTGAATACCAAATTGATGCTTAGCTAATAGTTGTCAATTGGAAGATATAAGAAACCGCGTGAGGAAATAATATGCGGTCGAAAAGGAGGTTTTAATAGGGAAGCTCAATTGAGAGCATAAATAATATTAAAAGCTTTGCTCCTTATTGAGCTTCCCTTCCAATTCCACCTCTCCATTTTGATACTTCCCTTCTCGCACCTAGCTTGTCAGCTGGATGTTAATTTAAAATTGTCAATAACTTGGGCATATTGAGACAATTTCCGTGGCAAGCTGTGACACCTCGATAGATTGCCGGGGGGCTATCCTACGACATAAGACAATTGTGAACAAATGCAAAATTATTCGAAGCAATAGCTACAAAAAGGTAATAAAAACGAGAGTTGCAGTTTAGCTTGAGACTAAACGAAACAAAAACAGGGAGTAAAGTGAAATGGGGGAAAAGTGAGTAAGAAAGCAAGAGAAAACATAATAAAATTGAAAACAAATAAGTTCAGGAACCATGAAGCGCCAACGGAAGCGCCAACGCTCATTGTTAGCTTTTGTCGTTTGCCTGTTGTTGTCGTTCTCGTTGCTATACCCTGTAAACGAAGGCATATACTTAAAGGGTAGAATATAGTAGTAAACGATATAATTCCAACTCTTCAAGTTTTATTATATATGTATCTAGGTAGAATCTTAAAAAAAAAACAGGCTGTTCGGGTATTGCGGATGACAATTAGGCGCGCAACGTAAATTCCACATGTTCCAGGGAATTGAAATCCCCGAATGGCGTGAAATCTGATTAGAATTTAGTATGCTGCATGCAACTTTATTTCACATCTGGGTACGGGATATCTCAGAGGCGAACATGCTCGGCTGGAGCATGCTTGTTTTAACTGTTTGACTGGCAGGATGAAGAAGAGATGGGTAACACACTCTCTCACACACACACACACACACAATATTGAGCCCCGGGAGCGTTTCCAGTGTTGTGAGAGCTATTTAAAAACAATTTATTTTTAACAACTGCCATGCCAGAAGCAAAATCAACCTGTCGCGGTGCCTGTGTGTGATGTGTGGTATGTGGTGTGCTAGTATGTGTGTGTGTTAGTGTGTGTATGTGTTAGTGCTCGTGTATATGTTGTATTTGTTCTTGATTTTCAGCTAAAAAACATACGAGAATAAAAAAAAAAGAATGTGAAGCGTCGCATCGTTTGGCGTCTGTCAGTCAGGTATGCAAAACATGAAGTGCAGATGCTTCAGATTGGTTTTCCAATTACTCAACATTTCAATGCAAATAACACAGAGCCACGGCGACGGTTAACGCCAACGATGAGGAATTTAAAAGTCAAACACACACACACACGAACACGCACACACTGGGATCTATTCAAATACATATGCAAGCATATGTGTGTGTTAGACGGGGCAGCTGCGGCAGCAAAGCCCAATTCACATATTTCTTCGATTTTTTGACAAAGATAAAATTTCAATCACGTTTCTTCACTTTTGCTTAACATACGTATATTTATGTGTGCGTGTGTGTGTGTGTGTGCGTGTGTGTGTGTGCTTGTGCATGTGTATCTTTGATGCTGCCAAAGGTGTAGTAGCTGTGGCAGCAAACCAAAAAACAACAACAGCAATAACATCTGTGGCCCCAGCCTAGGCAAAATCTGTATAGCCATAGTGTCACGGGGAAAATCACAAATTGATGATTTGTGTCGTGCTTTTGAGTGAAAACGACATTAACTTAACCTTAAAATGTAGCCACTTATCTATCTGTGATTTACAGGGTATTACGTTAGGCAAGAAGAGCATTGAACAAACTTTTCATATGTGCAGCCGGCTTCAGAAAATGCATGTGTTTAATTATTAGCAAGTTGTGTGCGCTCTTTTATGGGCCAGTTTTAATTTTAAAAAGTAAAAGTGCCCTAGACGGGCTTGCTCGACTAGGATATACCCTGCGTCGAGCTTCCTATACAAGCATACATATACAGGCAAACTCACACACACACGCACGTCGTTTGCTGCATCGGTGTCTAAAGTCCGATCTATATGAAATTTTGTGTGCGTAAATATTGTATACAAATGTGTGTATATGCCAAATCGGAAAGCTCTAGCCTTTAACATATTTTTGGTTTGTGAGTTATCATAATATTGCATATTTCGGAAATGGGATGAGAAATCAACAAACAAAGAGAATCTCGATTTGAATATGGCTTGAATATATGTCAAATTTTAAATCCCTAGCTCTTGTAGTTTCCATTTTAAATGGCTACTGAAAGCACTAGATATCACTCATATGACTTGCTGAATTCTAACTAAAGTTATTTAAGTAAAGAGTGAGATTATAATTTTAAAGATGTTACAAGGGCCTCGATAAAATGATTGATTCTCGAAGTGGATGGTAGACGAAATAAGTTTGAGAATCTCTTTAAAAATATCTTTAAAATGCTACTTAATTTAGAAGTCGGACGTTAGCAGGATTTTGGTCTTAAGGTTAAGATCTCTTGAAAAGGAAAAACCTAATTTATGACAAAATTTGTAAGCTGCCATCGATTCTTCTATACGATGTGGCTAGGGCTCTCTTTTATAGCGATCTGTGGGATCTATTGTGGCCGAATTTTGAAGCACTCTCTAGTTTATAGAACTGAGCCCAGTGTGAAATTGTTTCTATATATATGTTTTGTTTGAACTAAACTGAAACTTTACATTAAATGCGTTTATGGGCGAGTTACAGAGAAAGTGAGTGGGAGTGGGAGCGGGAGAGGAGGAGGGAGAGGTGATGGAGTATGTGGGCATGGCAAGTGGCTCTGCATAGCTTTGGCAATTAGAAAGCAAAATATTTGAGGCGCAGATAGTCAACACCAATTTGTTTGGTAGCATGGCAACCAGAACGTGTAGGGGATGTAGGTGTTGTATGTGTGTGTGTGTGTGTATAGAGCGAGAGAGGGGTAGGGCGGCGGGTTGCGGGGCTTGGGGGCATTGCTGTATACACTGCCAGAGCCTGTAACCCAAGGCTCTTACCTTTTATCATCTACATCATGGGCTGATTTACGTGGCGCATTTATTGCAAGGGCAGCCACTAAAAGTTTTTAAATTACAATTTACAGTTGCTGTTTTCGTGTGTGTGTGTGTGTGCTTGCGGGTGTGTGTGTGTGTGTGTGTGTGCATACATGTATGCATTTAGTTGCTGTGCTCATTGTTTTTAGCATTCAAGTGGCAGTTAAAATGGCTTCAGCCTCAATTGCTGCATCCGGCATCCCGTAAGCTGTGCCAAGTTCCCCCTCTCCCCCCCTTCCCCCTCCCCTTCCGACCAGCCCCTGTGCTTCGTAACCCGTTGCCCCAGTCGCTGGCAACATCCTTTGGGCCCGCTCCCTTGGCCGTTGCATTAGGAAAGTTGACGTGACGCTGTGAGCGATTTATTGTTTTTGTGTAGAGAGCGTAAAATGGAACAAATTTTGCACAAACACACGCACACATACATTTGGCATGTGTGTGCCTGCCACGCCCCCTTACGTATAGGTTTTGCCTGCTCTTGGGCGCTATGGCCCATACCCCAGCAAGACACATCGCGACCAGCAGGAGACGTCACCGCCGCCTCAGTTTGAATCAAGCAATCAGGTTCGCGGCCGCTTGCCGCCGATTGCAGCTGCAGCTGTTGCTGCCACGCCCTCTCCGCCCAGCTAACCCCACAACTAGGCAGTTAATTGTAATGCTGCAAAAATGCTGTCAAAGTTATGCGAGTGCGAAAATGTCCGCGGGCGCATGCCATGCATGGCAGCCGGGCTGGGTTGGTTATAACAGCCTCCGCCCGGGCCACTTGACAGAGCTTGGAGTCCGCTGCTCGAGTTCCGTTCTTGCGGCCATTTTCCGCAGTTCTGGCCAACATACGAGTGCTCGCAGCATGTTTCAAAATTTCCTTTTCTTTTTTAACTCTTTTTCATTTTTAAAGCTGGGTTCGCTGGGCATCTGTTGCAGCAATGGCAGTCGCAGCTATTGGTCGGCAATTGCATTAGGAGCTGATCAGGGCAAAGGCTGTGCATTGAAAATGTTGATATCTTAGTGGAAATACATAACAACAGCCATGTAAATCTAAAGTTTATCAGAGCCGGAGGTTATATTTTGTATATAGGTTTTTCTTAGTTTAAGCAGCTCAAGTTTATTCTAGTTATTCATACAAACATCAATCTGAAGAAAGCTTCTGCGAAGCCACAAAGTATATATAAATTCTGGATCTGTGCGAATAGTTGATCTTATCTAGAGACTTTAACAGATGGGGAACTTCTATACGAAATGCATATCAGATGCAGAACAAGTAAAACTCTCCCTTTTTCATATTTCTCTTCATTTCACCCAAATCGATAAATATCGATTTTCAGTTTTTGTCTTCTGAGTAAAGCTCGGAGACTATCGAAGCCAGAGACGAAAAATTTAGTATTTGGGTAGTCGTTGCTGAAATTGTATGTGAAGACAAGTCACAGGGTATTTCCGGGGGTACATGGTATTGTCTAGTTCAACTGGTAGATTTGCTAGGCAAAACTCTGGTCATGCTGTAATTTGATGCTTAATAGAGGCTTGAAATCAACACTTGATGGCAAAGAGTAGAAATGTTTTTGTGCGAACGGTTATGGGTAAACAACTTGATGGTTTATGTAATTCGTGAAACATACATTTAATACGTAGTGAAACATAAATTTTAACTTGAAAAACAGTGAACCTCGAACTGTTTGTCCAATGTAAACAATGGGGACGACCGTCCATATACGGCAACGCCCCCAGTTTAGCCCCCCAGGCTGCCGGAGACGCGTAGGAAGGCCTCGACGCGACCAAAACGTAACTTGACAATGCCATTAATTGCGTCACGATAGGTGATCAAAACCGGACCGCTAAAACGTTGACCATTCACACTGACAGTACCATTGCGACTCTCGTTGACCAGGAACAGGCCCGTCTCGCTCCGTGTCAATGTTGCGTGCAGCTTAGCCACAGTCTTTGGATCAGTGTGGAGCATCTATTTGGATATAAATACAATGGGATTTTTTTAGCTGCTGGCTTACCTTATCATCTAAACAAAAGTCCAGCTTATTATCATGGACATTGTTGCCAATGCGTAGCACCTGATAGGTGCGCAATACAACAGTCGGACGACCCTTGAATGTGATGCTGGCCATGGCTCTCTAGTTCTCTCGTGCAGACAGTTTTCGTTCTGAATCAATTACTAAACAAACAAAACTGATTGTTATGGGTATGGAATTGCTTACGAATGTTAATCGAACCGACTGAAATGTGTCGTCTGTCAGAAAACTGTAAAAGCTACTGTGCCCAGGTTTTCGTACCTTTTTGTTTCAAAGTAAATATCGATTTGGCTGCTATGTGAATGTGAGTATTGTGAGACGCCACCGCCTGACCAGATATCGAACTCTCTCTCTCTCTCTCTCTCTTTCCTTTTCATATATAAGTTGGAGTTGTCCAGCATAAATCGTAATGCTCCTGACTCTAAGCTCTTTATATTACTAGGCGCCACAGTCTGTGGGCGCATTCACACCCAGAGCTGGCCGCATTTCACTTAGCTCTTCAAGTTGCTTTTTACTCTGTCTAGTAGTAATACCCTTCCTAAGGGTATTATAGATTACTCAAGAAGACATCCTTCGACTCAACAGCCGAGCAAATGTGCCCATGTCCGTCTCTCAGCTTTGAGGCGATCGTCACGGATCTTTGCATAGATCCGTCTTTTTGTAGCACATATATTCGAGTTGGCCATAGAAACGATCTGGTTTTTGTTGAGCGAAATCCTATCAATATCCATAGCATATAGTTATTTATCAAAAGTCCGTCGTGAACTTCGAGAGTTTGAATTTGTAGAAGTTCTGTTTCCGAGACAGCTTGTTGCTGTGCTTTTGGTGTTTGCCAAGCTGCAGCACTGACCGTTTTGTCAAATTTACCAATTGAATAAATATTTAATGCACGCTTAATTTAGCATTAAAGCATTTGCCTGCCGCTTATTGTTGTACTTCACAATAAAACACAAGTAATTTATCAATTCAATAAAACAAAAACCAGCAATAATTTAGTAATTTATTGCCAGTTCACATCATTATTTGGGTTGGGTTTTGGGGTGTTTCTGCTAATAAATATTTAACGATAGAATATAATTTTATTCGCAAAATGAAATGAAAAGCGTATGCAAAATTCTCAGAAAATCAATAAACGTTGTATTACACTCGTTTGTTTTATTTAATATATATTATATAAATATCATTATAAATATCATATATATATATATATATCAATAGAACTTGAGATTTCTAATTACTTTGCCACCTCGAATTATAATTAGCGTGGAATTCGATCACAAGATATCTTGACACAGCTCCGTAATTATGAGCTTTACTCTGCTATTTAGTTTATTTTAGTGAAAAACTTTCTTGGTTGCTTTAGATACATAGCTCAGACGAATTGGCAAATAATGAGCCTCCGCACGGTCCATTGACTATCAAGGGTATTTAATCTTCGACAACCTTAAAAGCCTCTGCTAAAGTGTTTATAGTATTCCATTGCAATATTCAGAACAAAGCATTCGTGTTTTTTAGGAATAGCTTTGGTTAAGTGCTGGGATTACAAGAGATTTAAGAGTTTTCCATATCAGAGGTAAATTGAAAGAAAACGAATTATTGCTTACAGTCCTCGAGAGGAAAATCAGAGCGACTATGGCACATATATTGTTCTATAATTTATTGCTACGCCTTAGACGCATACTCTAACTACTTTTTTTTGTAGCCATATGCTAACTGACAAACGTTGTCTTACATGTGCACATGTGTATGTGTATGATAAAATCAGAGTCGAGTCGAGAGTTTTCAGTTTTCAATGCTGAAAGCAATATTCGCACGCTCATAATTTACAATACGAAAGTTTTTCTGCATAGGGGAAGGAAATTATTACTTACATCAAAGATTTGCATATATTGTCGTTGTGCGGGCTGGGGGAGAGCTGAGAGTGAGAGTGCTGGCTGCCTTGAAGGTGGGTGTCGCCGTGGGCGTGGGCGTGGGCGTGGTTGGGCTTTAGTTAGGCGTATGCGATTTAAGGCAAATTTGTCGCTGCCCGACCAGTCAGTCCCCAAGTGCGAAAGAGCACTACTAAAGGTAAAAAGAGAATATAAATAATAAAAAAAAAACAAAAAACAACGAAAGAAAGAAGGAAAATGCTGTTGTACCACACACAGTGAAAACCAAAGTAAAGTAAAAGAATTCGAAGGGAAAACTTTGCCTTCAATGAAATGAAATAAAATTGCATTACAACGGGCACAAAACGGGGAGCGTGAATGCTTCAAGGGCGCTTGTTGCCGTTAGGTATTTGGCCGGGTGCCGGGTGTGGCAAGGTGCTGAAGAGCAAGAAGGGCGGAGGAAGGGGGCTGGTAGTCTGTGCTGGGGGGGGGGGGGGGGGACTGTGCGACGTGTGGCATAAAAACTTTCGCCATGCCCCTGTTACAGTGCGAAATGCGAAATGCTGGCTTAAGTCAACGAACGCCATAGCCCACAATTGCACACACACACGCATACGCACACACGTGTATATATATCAAGACGCATATAGAAGTATAAATTTGTTTAACCCGCACATGTGTCAAAGTTTTTTAACCCAATTTCCGCAATTAAGTTTATATCATTCAGCACCCACCTCAGCAGCAGAGCTGCCAACTTTATATATCAGTCAAACCAAATGCGAGATGCCAATGTGTGTGTTGTTGCATGTGGGTGTTTGTGTGTGTGTGTGCCGTGTCGAGATCCGTGTCCATGTCCTGGGCGTCGACAACGACATGTAAACTTTAAACGACCTGTAGACGAGCAAAGCAAAAGGTTCGATGTGGCTGGCTGACGCCGACGATGCAAGAGAAAGTCATGTGTCAGCTGACATTTGACAGCACTGTATGCATGCATAAGACAAGTTGGCAGCACTACAGCATATACTATTCCCACCCTGAGGTGTGTCGGAAAACAATTCAAATGCCATGGACCTGCTTATGAGCCTAGCAAAGTTAAATGTGATTGATTGATTGACAGACTGATCAATGCACAGCTTAATTTTTTTACTTTATTTGAATGCCAAAACTGTTTAAAGAATTTTGAACAAATTTGTTAAAAAAATTAAAGTACATTTTAATATATTTCTTAACAAAAAAAAAACTCACACTCTTCAAAGCTCTACATATGAAATTTATGGAATTCTGATTTATCGATAGGCAAGCAAATTCACGCCTACGCGCGGAATATGAGTGAATAGCTAGTTATATATGTATATGAATATTCAATTGTAGCTAATAATTTAAGAGCTCTGCTGTGAAATCGTTACGAAAATTTGATTTTCGAAAAGTAATCAGAAGCTTTTGCATATGCTTTTTTCCGGAACTTTTAGTCAGCTATGAAATCTTTAACTCGAGCAGAACGAGCTTGGCAGTATGAAGTATATGTAATGTGGCATTTATGAGAATCATGTGGGTAGAAAAGAGGAAAACCAGCCTAAATTTAATCTCAAATATTAAGAATGATAAAAATGTGACTTTCAGGAAGTTGCCAACAAACTTCCATTATGAAATCAGTGCACAACGAGATGGAGTGGGGCTAATATTTGAAATTTTGAAGGCGCTGCTTGCAGTCAGGTCACAGACCCCATTCAAAGTACACACACACACACACACACACACACATTACAGTCAGTTTGCGAGTGGTGCAGCTTAAGGAAGGAAGCACTGCGATTGTCAAAAATTGTTCAAAGGATGTTCGGAAGGATGACGACGGAGACAACGTCTAAGAGACAGTGAGACAGAAAGAAAAATAGTGTGAGAGAGAGAGAGAAGGGGGAGGGGGGGGAAAGAGGGAGGGAGAGCCAGAGAACTGAGCTGCATTAAATCTATGCTTGTTTGTTTTTCATATGTATTTGCAAACAAGGACACACCAGGACGAACGTCACACATGCAGCCAACAGCTGTCATGGGTGTGTGTGTGTGTGTGTGTGTGTGTGAGTGTGCGGCGCGGCTTTACGTTAGTGGAAAAAATAATTCTAACAGCAACTCAAACAAACAAACAGGCAAACAAGCAAACCAGCCAACAGCCAACAGCCAACATGAAAAGCGGCCCAAGTGCTACATATGTAGTATAACATCAGTTGGACCAACAAGTTGCTAAACTGTAAGATACCCTGGAGTGCAAAAAAAACTAGCCAAACCTCATGAATAATACCTTATTTGATAATTGTTGGAATTACAGCATTCGATAGTTTTTCAAATTACAATATCCAGCAGTTATACAATAGTTGCAGAAACAATATATATTTATATATTTTTTTTATTATAAATCATATTATATGAAGCTTATGTTTTGCTTAAGATTTTTTATATTTGAGTGCTATACAATGATTTATTGGGTACGGTGGAAATTCTCTCCAGACTAGCTAGACTAGCGTTTCATATTATTTTCTTGATGAGTCAAGAAAGCTTAAGAGATTTTTTGTCAACTTTAGTTTAGCTGTTATTTAATATCTTTTAAGATTATTTATTCAGTGCTTAACACAGTTCGGGTTAAGGAGTCAAGTCATGATAACATTGTGCATATAAACCAACTGTTATCGAACAATCGACCGTTATTTTGGGTGTTGGTAAAGGTGCAATTATGCATTTTGTAAATTGTTCTTTAGTTAAACGATAGTTACTAATATTGTTTTTTTTTTATTCAAGGTTTTATATTGAATTAAAATCAGCGCGATTTAAAAAGTCAAGTCACCATAGCATAAAAATTAGCTGTTATCGAACAATCGAACCTTATTTTGAGTGTTGGTAAACGTTAGAATGAAAGAATTGCGCCGCCTTTAACTATTATGGTTTATGATTTCGTAAATACGCAAGCTTTTGATCTTTAAAAGCTTGAAACTAGGTTTAACCAGCTTTAGGTCAAGAGCCTCGCCACTTTTAGGCTGGTCCAACTTGAGAGACTTACAGGATATATAAAAAAAGCTGGCATATTCAATTTCCAGCTCCCCATCTCTCGCTTTGCTGTGCCGTCACACACACACACGCACACAATGCGAGTGGAGAGACAAAGGCGTGAGCTGGGCGCAGCATTTGATGTTTGTTCTGTGCAAACTTTGGCATGGAAAACTTGGGCCAAAAGACACCTGAGCTTGTGTTGCCCCCGTTGCCACTCCCTCCCAACACTATTTCGCCTAGTCGGGCGCAAGTTTTGTGTTCAGCGCATTCTCTCAGACGCCCAAACGCTCATTCCTCTCGATACTCTACACTCTATGCCCTACTGCACAGAC